CCCCGTTGTAAACAAAAAAAAAGTCGTCTGGTCAAATTCTCAGAGCGAAATTAAAGGAAGGAAGTGGTATCTAGGTAAGATGTGTTTATTTTTCACACCTAAATAAAATTATTTATTAAAAATCAGTACGTATTAGACCCATTAAACCCTAATTAAGCAAATCATATCGCTCGGTAAGATCATCGGAATGATGCGATATTGAACGCTAACAGGACAGACGTTAATTTGAATACCGATACTAAAAAATCATTAATTTGAGGGGTTTTTAATTGGAATAACTATTATAAATTATGTGGAAATGTTTTAGCTATATAATAAAGGAGTTATTGAACTTATATCGGTGAATATTGGCACTCGTTGGCTGTTCAAATGCACTCGCAAGCTCGTGCATTTGAACAGCCAACTCGTGCCAATATTTACCGATATAAGTTCAATAACCCTATAATATATACCTGTCTCTGTGTATGATATGATACTATATCTACCTGTCTCTGTGTACGATATGATACTACAGTATATTTACCTGTCTGTGTGGGGGTCTGACATTGTACATTTTTTATGGGGTGCGTATTTATCCTGGGGACACCAGTACTCTACGGACAGCCTCAGTTCCAGGGGATCAGTCCTGTATAAATCTCCTATCTGAAAATACAAGCAGGACTTGATATTAAGATTTTATGATATTTGAGGAAAGAAGTTTATTTTAACTTATGATTTTACAATGTAACATAACTTGGGGCATTTTACACTTTAATAAACGTTAGAAATTTTCCTCCAAAAATGGCTTCAAATTGAGCATACTTTTAAAGTATCCTCAAGCTGAGTTATTATACATCTTTGGCGGAACTCATTGCGACATGGGCAACTTAACTTATACAATATAAACTTAATATTTCATCCAATCAAAAGATGTTTTACAACCAAAAATAAATTTTAATGATTTAACACAGCACAGATCACTAATATTATAGTAATATACAGGTAGATAATAGATTTCATGATGATTTTGCATATTAAGAAATGTTAGATAAAATTGAAATGTCAAGAATATAATCAATTTTGAGTTTAAATTTCAAAATTTTAAAGAAATTGCCTCATAACTTATTTCTAAAGGGAACTATTATTAATATACATTGTAGCAAAAGTTAACTCTTTTGTCAGAAGGTAAATAAGCTTTAATTATATTGATATAAGGCTTAGCAGTAAACACTAAGGACAGTTACGAGCCAATCCACCCAACCTAGATACATTAATATTAGCAGTTAACACTAGCAGCAGTTATGTACCAGTCTCAGTAGGTACTGGAAGACGTGACTGGGTGATGTGGGAGTTATCTCTCTTGTCAGAGGGTCAGTAAACCTTAATCATGTTGATATAAGCAGTAAACACTAGCAAGAGTTGCGTACCAGTCTCAGTAGGTACTGGAAGCCATGACTGGGTGACGTGGGAGGTTCTAGGGAACTCTGGGATGTCGCGATTCTCGCCGCCTCATCTCTTCTTGTATGAGGCTCTTTCACCTATCAATCATACAGAAAAAAGTTTCTTGAACAGACTTTTAAACACTGAACATTTTTGTCACAAATTCTAAAAGGTTTTGATAAATTTTCTTTCTACTATCACACAAGGAATATTTTTTTCAAAATATTTTACATTCATCAATATTATAATTAACCTTTCTGAAATGCTGAATATTTTCATTTCAGATAAAGTTATAGCCATGCAAAATTGGCACCTTTTTTCACAGTGATCAAATGCATTAACAATTTGTTTGGGCTCACATAAGTACTGTAAATCACTTTCTATTTTCACGTGATTACGCAAGACAGTGTGATCGCGCAAATTTAATTCTCACATATAATAATATTTTGTAAGATTGTTTAGTCTATGCAAAGTTAATTACTTGGTTCTCAGGCCTTTTTTTGCAGGAAATACGATGAGGGAGGGAGGCATTTTTTTCTTTTTTATTGCCCCCAAAACATGATGAAGCATGTTTGTTAAATAATTATTAAAAGATTCAAAATCTAAATTTTATTCCCAGTTTATGATCTTGGAGCCTGATTGAATTTCTAAGAATAAAAAAATGCGACAAAGTGTCACTTTATTGATAAAAAAATAGTACAGAGCAAACATGAACACCAAAATTTTCGCTACCCTTCAAACGCATATGAGTTTGCTTGAAAACCACATTTGATGTAAACATCGGTCATGTGAAGTCAACCAAGAGTTAATACTTGGGTTAACGAATCCTAGTCAGTCAAGTAGACTTGCATCAACTTCATTACTACAGCTACCAAGTTACTCTTAGTATTACTCAGCAAAGAAGAGGAGATTGAAAACACGGCTAAGCTAGGTGGATATTAAGGATTTTTTATGAATTCTACAGTGTGGATACATACTATAGCCTACTACAGTGGGCTAGTGATTTATACTTTGTAACGATGACTGACCTCTTTATCTGGCTGCATTTCATTTCCGGAATTTTTGGTAATTATCAACTTTTCATTTCCGACATTTTTTATTTTTCATTTCCGACATTTTTTTGTTTTCATTTCCGACATTTTTCAAATACATATGTATAGTTCTTTTAGTAACAGATCTGAAGACGTAACTTATGAAAAATTTAAAGAAAAAAATCATAAATAATTCATTGAAATCCATTTAGGTTTTGTAAATCTATCAATGACTTGGACGTAAGAGTGGTGCTGTCACTGTCATTTAATTTTAGTGCACATTAGATATGTGCTCATTGAACTCTTTTACCTAGACTTAGTGCTACATGTATGCATACATATATATTGTTTATGTTTCTTTTTAAAATTTTTATCAATATTTTGTAATAAATACTTTTAAATATACTTCAGTTACTTAGAAAACATTGAATTGCTGCACAGATAAATTCCGGAAATGAAAACAAAATTATGTCGGAAATGAAATAAAAAAATGTCGGAAATGAAATTAAAAAATGTCGGAAATGCTATGCATATTTCCGGAAATGAAATGCAGCGCTTTATCCACCTAAAGGATTGGTTTGTTGAGACAGGGTTGTAGAGCAGACGGACCTTACAGTGGATATCTGAGTTAATTGTTAAAGGTCCGTGTCAAGGCTGAGATAAATCCTACTGCTCCCTGCCGGATCCAGATTCCCTGTGTAAATGTGGCATCATGTTACAGAAAATGTCTTCTACAGCAATTACATGACTTTGCCAAAATTCAAGTTCCAAAATTTTAATTCTTTTTTTTTTCAATGTATGATACTGAACTGCTACTTTAAGATAAAAGTAACTACATTTAGTAACAAACTGAAGTTCTATCTACATGTATTATATGTATGAATTAAGCACGTACAAGGGGCGTTCAATAAATAATGTCATCAGAACTTGGAAAGCAACAAAAATCGCTTTTCTATGATTTTGTCCTAACGATTTAACCAAGATATAATTCTCTTTTAATTAAAAGACATGTCCGTAATATTTTTATTCAATTTCTAATTCTTTTTAGAACACAGTTTTGAGTATGACCCATCGTATACTGGAAAATGGCAGATCCTATGATTTGCCGTACTTGTTTTTCTCTTTCTGAAAGGTGCTTTCCTAAGTTTGGAAAATGAAACAAGTCAAAGAATGAAAGATCTGGCGAATATTGTTGATGTGACAAAACATTAACTTTCTGTTTACCCAAAAATTCCTTTATTCTTCATGGCCTGTGGGTTTGGACGCTGTCAGGAAGAAATATAATGTAGTGAATTCCTCATTCTGTTTCCTTCCTCTCATTAACCTTTCAATTTTTTGGCATATATTTTGCTTACTAGACTCCTCCAGAAATTGAACTGTCTCCCTATATATGTATTTGAACAACAAGACAACAATAGCGTATAAAACTGTTTTTGTGTTCTTGCAATTTTTTGCTCTTCTTAAGCCTTTGCAGTTTTGTCAAGTATATCTTATTCTAAATTTGTTTTGAGGGTTTAACGCAAAATGGATTCTAGTTTCATGATCTGTTTGAATTTCAGAAAAATATGGATACGAACATTTTTTGTTTTTGTTTTAAATAATTGTTTAGATTTTCTACACGCTCTCGTTTTCACTCATATTTATAAATACAGGGTGACCAATCAGTATTGAACTCTTTAACAATCAAATGTTTCTTTAAAACAGTCGTAAACTACCCCGATATGAAGTCTATCAAATTTGCTATGTAATTTAAAGTCAATAAAACAATCGGTGATAATTTGTTGAATTATCCCTAATATAGATTGGTTGTTGTATGTCCTTGTTAAAAAGGAGAATACCCATTTTTGATGACCATTATATAATTTTTGTTCATGGAAATCCACCTGTTCACGTGTGTATGAAACAGGCATAAGTTGCTGTAAATTTCACATATTTCAGTTAATAGATTTTTGGGAAATTAACAAGTTTTACAGCAGCTTTAATGACGCGTTCAATTTTACTCTAATTTACTGATTCTTGACCATTCATTTTTGACACAGTGTCTCAAGTAGCCCTAATTGTTTTCCAGGTTCCCACAGTGGAATTATGCGATGAAAAGTGGTCACATAAACTGTTATCAATTCATTAAAGATTCAATAATTAGATAAAAACAAGCTTAATGTCATATGATTTCTTTGTTGTATGTCAAGGTTCTGATGACATTATTTATTGAACGCCCCTCGTATAAATAAGTAAGGGATAAATAACGAGATGGTGTTGAATAGTTTAGAGAAAACATTCCCCTCCGAGGGCCGAAGGCCCGAGGAGGGGAATGTTTTATCTAAACTATTCAACACTATCGAGTTATTTATCTTACTTAAAAAAATTCCCTCTATTGAACCCCAAAGAAACAGTGGCCCATTCATATATCCAACTGTGCCATAACAATGGAATTTTACCCTTTCATATATCCAACTGGTTGTAATACAAAAGGCTAACCGAACACCCCTCTGCGAGCTTGTGAAAGAGGTGCTCACTTCATATCAAACCATTGTGTTCTACGGATCGGTCATGGATTCTGATGACGAAATTTTTCTTACACAAAGTAAATTTAAAGAAGTCCAGAGTTCGGGGGAAGATACCGATAGTGTATTAAATGATATTTTAGACTTACAGGAGGAAAAAGAAAATCAGAATTTTGATCTTAAGCTGGACAAATACAGTGATATTTCGGATGATGATTTGGTTCAAGTGGCTGACAAGATTCTTATGGAGTCGCAGACGGGCAATATTAAGACTGAAGAAAAAGATCAGCGTTTCAAAGAACCCATTTCTGATTTTGAACGTGAGAGAATTGCTGCGTCAAGATTTGCTAATAAGACTATGTCTAAATCAAGATGGGCAGTCAATTTATTTAATTCCTGGATGAGAAATAGACAAGAGAAATATGGAAATAGGGATGACCTTCAAAAAATTAGTGGAGAATTGCTGACCATGAACCCTGAAATGCTTAATTATTCTTTGGGGGCATTCATAACTGAAGTACGCAAAGAAAATGGGGAAGAATATCGTGGTAACACCTTGTATGAAATTATAATAGCTATTCAACATCATCTACGAGAGAATTCAAGGTACGTTACTCTTATGGACGATACTGAATTTGAAGGAATGAGAAAAATGTTAGACAAAAAAATGAAGGATCTGGCCTCATCTGGAGTCGGAATAGAGAGAAAACAATCAGAGGTTATATCAGTGGCAAATGAGAATTACATGTGGGAAAAGTGTATACTTGGAACAGACACACCCGAAAAACTGAGAGACACTTTACTCTTTTTGCTTGGACTTAACTTTGCTCTTCGTGGAGGTGCCGAACATTACAATCTACGATATGGAGAAAATTCACAGCTGAAACTAGGCAAAGAAAAAGAATCTGGGCGGGAATTCTTAGCATATACCGAGGATATCTCGAAATGTAATTCCGGTGGAATAAACCATAGGAAACTGAGAAGAAAGCAGACAAAGGCATATGAAAACTTGGAGAGACCAGACAGATGTGTTGTTTCTGTATTCAAGAAATACATTTCTTTAAGGTAATTATTTTTCTTTCTTTTATCAAATTTTCTTATTGTATACATATATATTGGAAGAGATATGTTATTAAGGTTATTTTTGTTTTATACAGGCCAAAAACTGGAAAAGTCAACGCTTTGTATTTACGCGCAAGGGCCAAGCCGTCAAACGATGAGTGGTATTGTGATGTCCGAATGGGAATCAACACCTTGTCAAAGGTAGTGAAAAATCTGTGTGCAAAAGCTGGTTTAGATGGGCACTTCACAAACCACTCACTAAGAGCAACAGCTGCAACGAGGATGTATTCAGCAGAACTCCCTGAGCAACTCATATGCGAGAAGACCGGCCATCGTTCCGATGCTGTTCGTGAGTACAAGCGCACAAATACTGTTCAACAGCAGGAAGCTAGTGATGTTGTTCAACTTGGTTCAAAGAGGAAATGTGAAAATATCCCTCACGGTGATGTGTGTGATTCTAAATCAATCAAAATTAAGAAAGGAGATATTTCTGTGGAAATTCCTTTATAGTTTGATGGATATCTATAGTGTATATTGCTGGTTACATTATTGGATTTACAAAAATTGGATTTATAACTGTTATTATTTTGTGCTGTAGAAATACAATTTTCAACTCAACCTTCTCTTTTTATTCATTGTAAAATTAATTGTTTTCTGCACTGTTGGATATTTGAAATATATTCAAATATCCAACCGTTAAGCAGTTGGATATTTGAAATATCCAACGATTGCAAGTTGGATCTTAAAAATATCCCACTGGTGGTGGTTAAATCAATAAAATATACCCAGTCTAATAACAATGGGTGACGTCATTGAAGTTTTTTAAGAACACTTAGTACATCTAAGACAGCAAATAGTACATTGCATTTGTTCATTCACTGCAATAAAAACTTAAAATATAACATTATAAATCTGTAATTTTGTAATTTTGAAAAAGGACGGAGACTTTTTGTAACGGCGCCGGAGCAGAACAAGACCAGGTCACGTTTAAATCTTTAGTTTATTCAACAGCAATAAACAACAATGGCATGTGTCTATAAAAAGAACATACATAAATTATAACTTCAAATAGAATGACAAATAACATTTATGAGAAAAAAAATAACAAGTTATGAAAAAGAAAAGTATTTCAAAAGCAAATACCTTTACGGACAGCACGGCCTCGAGAAGTCTGACCTTGAAAACTGGCTGGCAGGACAAGTTATTCCCATCGAACATGGGTATTTATACCCAGACCTACTGCGCAAGTGGATTGAGTTGATTCCAAAAATATGCCATTCAGGAATAAGATTACAAAAGGGTGTTCCACAAAAGCCTTTACAAGATGTTAGAATTGTACTCCCTTGATTCAAATAATCGAAATAAGAAACATGTTTACAAAAGTGAGCACAGTATTAGCCTAAATAAATATATGACATAAAATATATGTAATTATTTGGTCACATTTTTTATAGGTTACTTACAGGGTGTGCCAAAAAAGGGACCACTTAATGTAAGAACTCCTGAAGCATTGATTTCTGAATGAGACTAATTCTGTAAGAGCCTGTAGAGCACCTAACGTCTTGTGTACAACAAATTCTTCTGGGTCACTAAGGCCCTGAAACAGAAAATAAAGTTAATACTGTGAAATCGTTATTTCCATTGGGGATTTAATCATCATTGTTTCTGTAAGATTTGACTGGCTATAATTATTATCACCTGATTTCTGTACCTGGTCAATAAGTGGCTAAAAGTATAGAGCTATAAGTATAGAGCAGCTCTCAGCAGCAACCCGACGTAGGCGGCCACACCCACAATGTTGTCAAAGAAGGAGCCACGGAGAGATGCCAGTCAGTCTGAAAATCAAGAATATAATGTACGTGTACATACAGTGTGATTTGGCATATTCAAATTTTAGCGCAATCACTGGGTATGAGTTGTTAGCGTAATCATGTCTGTGTCATATTTAGTATCTATAACTGATTTCTTAGAGATACAGTAAAACTTGGTCACATCAAAGTCTAGGGGACCTCTGATATTAGTTTGCTATATCCCTTATTCATTATATCCATATAAGGAATTAGATAAATTAATATAGCTGGGGGATCCATGATAACTTCGCTATATCCGTGGATTCGCAATACCCGTGTTCGTACTATACGAGTTTTACTGTATTCATAAATTAGCACATTGACTGTTCCAAAGTCTCTAAAATATGAAGCCTGCTATTCTAAATACCGTCTACAGGGAAATTTTTGCCCCTTCCACCTACCCATCATTCGGGCGAAATCAAAGATTTCAGCATAATTTCCTAAACAAAGCTATAACTGGATGAATACAAATTGGGGAAACATTGTTTGCAACTGTGAAAGAGTGAAGATAATACTTTCGTGAAAATAACCCTGTATACAGTACACATACGGTACATCACTGATCAGAGAAAGTCTTCTTAATTAAGGAATGAATTTAATAGCTACCCATTTTATACGGTATAAACTGGGTTTATGCTTTATAAACCGCGAAGCGGTTTTTAAAAAAAGCGTAAACTGTTCCAACCCAGTTTATACCGTATAAAATGGGTAGCTATTAAATTCATTGCTTATAATATAATTTTCATTCATTTGATGTAAGAAAAAAGATCATTGTTCTGACAAAATGACTTCTATTTGTACAAAATTTTAATGTAACGTCAGGCGGATCGATACGTTTTTGACGCAAGTCATTGTGACGTAGGCAACCCATTTTATACGGTATGAAGTAAATTTTTTACCCAATCAAATACATGTACAACGATGCAACCAGAATTAAATTATTTTCATATACAGGACTTTATAATTTTAATTATCATTTAACAAAACCTGAGTTATCTTACCTTGTCATGGAGGAAAGTAATCATGTGAGACAGCAACACATCATTGGCTGAAAGTTAAAAACAGAAATTAACATTTCTAAAAATTCAAATCGACCATCCTAAACCACATTTACTCTATATCAGGCTAGAGAATGAGATTAAACTTCAAACAACTACCACAACTCAAACATGTTTTAACTTTACATCTGTGCATCAGATTGTAGAATTAAATCTTGTTGAGAAAAGTATTTTTCAAATGCCTGGTTTTGGTAAAGTGAGTACCTTTCTGCCTGCCAAAGAAGACACACAGCTTTGTGATTCCGTTCTCCAGTAGGGTCTGTTTAACACTGTTGTCTGGGTCACTCAGCAGGGTCACGACCTTCTGTTGTGTGGGTCACTCAGCAGGGTCATGACCTTCTGTTGTGTGGGTCATTCAGCAGGGTCATGACCTTCTGTTGTGTGGGTCACCCAGCAGGGTCACGACCTTCTGTTGTCCAGGTCACTCAGCAGGGTAACAACCTTCTGTTGTCTGGGTCACTCAGCAGGGTCCCGACCTTCTGTTGTCCGGGTCTCTCAGGGTCATGACCTTCTGTTGTCCAGGTCACTCAGCAGGGTCACGACCTTCTGTTGTCCAGGTCACTCAGCAGGGTCATGACCTTCTGTTGTCTTGGTCACTCAGCAGGGTCAGGACCTTCTGTTGTATGGTCTCTTGTAGAGACAGCAGCTCTATGTCATAATTTGCCTATATAAACAACAAGAGGCCCATGGGCCACATCGCTCACCTGAGCAATGTGGCTAGGAAAAAAGCATAAATTAGTTTATTATTGAAAAGTTGAAACTCAATAGTGGTCCCAAATAATCCTTAAAAGGGAGAGCTAGGGTATGATTTGAACAAACTTGAATCTACACTAACTAAGGATGCTTGCATATTTCTTTGACTACCTGTGGTTTTATTGCCCTTTACATTTGAACTTTTATTGTGGCCCCACCCTACCCCCAGTGGTCATGAACAAAATTGAATCTACACTACCTGAGAATGCTTCCATATGAATAGGACTAATAATGGCTTTGCTATTTTTGAAAAAGAGATTTTTAAAGATTTTTTTCTACATGTTTCTATGTAAAACTTGGATTCCATGTCGTGGCCCCTCCCTACCCCCTGGGGTCATGATTTGAAAAAAATTGAATGTCCACTACCTGAGGATGCTTCCAAAAAAATATGATCATTCATGCCTTTGCTATTACAGAGAAGAAGATTTTAAGAATTTTCCTATATATTTCTATGTGAAACTTCGATCGTCCATCTTGGCCCAGCCCTATCCCCAGGGGTCGTGATTTGAACAAAATTGAATCTCCACTACCGGAAGTTGCTTCCATAAAAATATGATCATTCATGCCTTTGCTATTCCAGAGAAGAAGATTTTTTAAAGAATTTTCCTATATATTTCTATGTAAAACTTTGATTGGCCATTGTGACCCTGCCCTACCTCCAGGGGTCATGATTTGAACAAACCTGAGTCTACACTACCTGAAGATGCTGACAAATAAATATGATCATTCATGCCTTTGCTAATTTTTGAGAATAAGATTTTTAACAAATTTTCCAATATATTTCTATGTAAAACTTTGAACAGCCATTGTGGCCCCGCCCTACCCCCTGGGGTCATATTTGAAAACTTAAATCTACACTACCTGAGGATGCTTCCCTAAAAGTTTCATCTTTCCGGGCACAGTGGTTCTTGAGAAGAAGATTTTTAAAGAATTTTTCTTATCTTTTTCTATGCAAAACTTTGATCGGCCATTGGGGGGCACCTGCTGGAGCTGCTATACACTATCATTTGCCCTCATTCTGCCACTTCTCAGTTAGAACAATAACAGGACTACTTAGATGAAATTTTTTTTCAATTTCTTATAAAGTTTAAATTAGTTTACAATTCTATTTATCATTGAATTAAAATGTACTTTTAGAGGATACATTTAAAGTCAGTGTATAATACATGTAGCAATATAGTCTAAAACTGGTGTGTGTTTGGTGATATCACTTGATTCTTGCTTTCAATAACTAATAACTTGTCTGCATGACACAGTGGGTAGAGAGTCTCAGCTCTAGAGTCGCAGCGTTGATCACAAAATCGCAGGTTCAATTCCCACTGTGGGACATGTAGACCAGTCCCTATGATTAGATGTAAACTGAGGACCTGTATAGCAGTAGACAGCTAGCATAAAAGAGATATCCCTTGCTGCTTGATTGCTTTGAGTGTTGAGCATAAGTCAAAATTTGCAGCCCCATCAGCTATTATATTTGGATAAACTTCGATTTTTTAAACCATACAAGCTTCTAAGGACTTCCCACCATCCCTGGGCCATACTGCACTGCCCTTTACATTGTATGTACTTGCTGGGCCCATACTCTTTGTACTACCAAGTATGGACCTGCTGGGCCCATACTCTGGACATTGCCCTGTATATGTACCTGCTGGGGTCCTATTTATTCAAAGACCTTCAGCCTCACTAAAAGTTTTAGACTACATGTACATGTAGCTGTGGCCAGTCCCTCTAGCACAAGATAGATTACCAAATACAGTACAACTCGTTTACTACTGTGACCAAGTAATTACATATATTTTAATTCATATATTTATTTAGGCTAATACCGTACTCACTTTTGTAAACTGATTTCTTATTCAATTATTGAATTAATTGAGTATAATTCTAACATTTGGTAAAGGCTTTTGTCGAACACCCTTTTGTAATCTTATTCCTGATTGGCATATTTTTTTAATCAACTCAATCCACTTGTGCAGTAGGTCTGGGTATAAATACTCATGTTCGATTGAAATTACTTGTCCCGCCAGCCAATTTTCAAGGTCACAACTTCTCGAGGCCGTGCTGTCCATATAGGCACATGCCATTGCCATTTATTGCTGTTTGATAAAGATTTTTAAAACGTGACCTGGTCTTGTTTCTGCTTTGTTACACTATGAACACAGATATAGCGAATTCATGGATAGAGTGAAGTTTTTCTGGGTCCTCGACAAAATTCTTAACTAATCTTTTTAAAATTTTAAGGTTATAACGAACTCTGATATAACAAATTTATGGATATACCGAACTGATTTTGAGGTCCGTTGAGGATAAATATAATGAAATTTACATTTTTTATAACAAACTTTCAAAGATCTCAAAATTTGATAAATTGAACTGACTTTATTTTATTTCAGCATTTGTATATAGCTAGAAAATTCAATTCATAATAAAACCTTGGTTATCGAAGGTATGTTTTGTAATATATTTGCTTCCCTAACATAAGTATGGTAGTTAGGGTTGGTATGATATATCGAGATATCGATATATCGTGATATATGTGAGGACGATACATATATCAATACATTTGAAAATATATCAAAATATCGCCCCCAGAAATCTGACTTCTGTTTTTCTTTGATGGTTTAACATATAAAATAATTAAGTTGAATATAAATAAAGATATGAAATAAATAATAATTAACACCACTTAAGTAAAATAATTTTGTTTTACAACAAATAAACATCTATTTTGAATAAATTATTATTATTTGCAAAGAAATAATTTTTTTATTTCAATGCAAAATGATTTAATTTATAAGCAATTAATTAAACATATTGTGATACATATTGTATTGTGGCTCAAATATTGTGATGCGTCCCTTACCAAAGTAAAATTATTGCAGCAATATTGCTGCTATATTGCGGCAACACATTTTTGTCACCAGAAACAAGCTTTTTGGGTTAGTGAAATATCACCGCTAGCTGCAACAACTTCCGGTGACATTCTGGCAATACTGCCAGAACAAAACTTTCTGGCAACATCTAGGATTACCGATGAGCCATTTGTTGAGCATGCTCAGTCATTTACTTCCTCTTTTTAAATAAAGTGGAGGGAATTCAAAGGCAAGCATGTTTTGCTTCATTACTGACTTGTATCAAGTTAATTAGAGTTGTTAATTGTGCACAGTGGGATTAGTCAAGATGAGTAGTAAGACTGCATAGTGTGGAATGACTAGAAAAAAGAATTTAATCAGAATTATAGGAATGTGAACTCTGTTTCCTGTAATTCCATATATTAGACGATATAGAAAAAGTTGTATCATCCCAGCCCTAAATTGGTAGTTATACTTGAAGGAAAACATGCTTATAGCAAATTTGCTATATACGAGTATAGTTATATGAATTCGTTACACGGATATAACGAATTACAAATATAGCAAATTAAATTCACAGGTCGATCTCCCAGGACTTCCCTTACCAAAATATTGACCTTCTGGCAACATCTTCTGGCTTTATTGCCGCAATATTGCAGCAACATTCTGGCAATACATTGCCGCAATATTGCGGCTATATCATATTTCGTATGTAAATTAGTTTTGGGGCAATATTGCCAGAAAGAGGTTGCGGCAATATTGCTGCAAATCATGACCCAAATATTGATCTTCTGGCAACATCTTCCGGCATTATTGCTGCAATATTGCGGCTATATCGTTTTTCGTATGTTAATTAGTTTTGCGGCAATATTGCCACAAAGGGGTTGCGGCAATATTGCTGCAAATCATGACCGAAATATTGATCTGGCAACAATTCTTCCGGCATTATTGCCGCAATATTGCAGCAATATCATTTTTCGTATTTAAGTTAGAAATAATTGGTATTTAATAGAAATAATGATCTATCAATCTAACAATTAACAAACTGTGCTGAGGAATATAACAAACAATAGCAAGCCACAGGGTCAATAAGAAATAGCTACTTCTGCTATTCTTTGAACAGATAGAAAATTATGTTGATCATCATAATGAAAATCAACATATGTTTGTGAAACACTGTGCGCCTGGTGGCAATAAAGTTTGTAAAAGCTATTTATAGCATATGGGTCACAGTCAAGGTCACAATGTCATTGATCTTGGTGTCATTTGAAAGAACTTGATTATTGAAGTGTGCATACTAAATATGAAGTCTCTATCTCTTATAGTTCAAAATTTATGGCAGAGGATCAAAATGGCTATTTTTAGCATATGGATCACAGTAAAGGTCAAATTGTCATTGACCTTGGTGTTACTTGAAAGAGTTTAATTAGTGAAGGGTGCATACCAAATATGAATTCTCCATCTTTTATGACTCAAAAGTTATGTCGAAGTTTCCAAAAATCTATTTAAGTATATGGTCACAGTCAAGGTCCCAAAGTCATTGACCTTGGTGTTATTTGAAAGAGGTTAAATAATGAAGGGTGCATACGTAATACAAGTTCTCTATCTTTTATGGCTCAAGATTTATGTCCAAGATTCAAAAAATCTATTTTAAGGATATGGGTCACAGCCAAGGTCTCAAGGTCATTGACCTTCAGGTGTCTTTTGAAAAAGCTTAATTAGTGAATTATGCATACTACAGCAAAACTCGTTTAGTACGAACACGGATATAGCGAATTTACGGATATAGCGAAGTCATTTGGAATCCCCAGCTATACAAATTTTAATGAATTTCTCATACGGTTATAACGAATTACGGATATAGCGAAGTGATTTCATAGGTCCCAGCGACTTTGTTATAACCGAGTTTTACTGTAAATATAAAGTCACTATCTTTCATTAATTTTAAGTTATGATGAATATTCGAAAAAGCTATTTTTAGCATATAGGTCACAGTCAAGGTCACAAGGTCATTAACCTTGATGTCATTTGAAAGAACTTAATTAGTGGAATAGACATACCAAATATGAAATCTTTATCTCTCATTGGTTCAAAAGTAATGGTGAAGGTTAAAGTTTACAAACAAACAGACAGGACAAAAACAATATGTACCCCCGATCTATCAAGACAAACGAATAAAAAAATGTTTATAGAAACAATATTAATATACCACTGGAAATGTCCAGCAACTCTGCATTAATTTTCAAATAACATACTTTAATCCATCTTTCCTGCTACT